AAATGATTTTTTTTTTCCTTTTGGGTAGACGCATAGTAATGGGATTGCAGGATCAAATGGGAGGTCTAATTTGAGTTCTTTGAGGATTTTCCAGGCCTGTGTTTATGAACTAAGAATACTGAAATCAGGATTATGAATAAGTGTTACAATTTTATATCAGTTTCATCATCCAAGATATTTCTGGTTTGGATTTGGGTAGTTCAATATCAAGAAAATCTTGATTCATACAGAAGAGTTATTGTAATCTTGAGATAATTTTAAATTGATTTAGATGTTTGAAAAAAATGAGATTTTTTTGTTTCAAAGTTGAATCACTTATGTTACCTAGCAGCTATTCCCATTCCCCTTCATAAATATTAATTGGATAAGCCCTAACATGTGTAAGAATTCTGTACTACAGAGATTGATAATGAGATGGTGTGATATTGAATCTGTGGCTTCTCACTCCCCAACCCCGGTCTACCATAAACTCAGTATAGGCCCCTGAGTCTTCTGTGGGATGAAATTGAACCTGGCTGCTGTGTGTCAAGTTATGCGTTCACCTATACAGCTTTATCTGAGGAGGCACACGCAGGCTTGAATGAAAAACTAAGCCTGTGAAGAGCTACATTTATTTTAACCAATAGCACATTGTTCAGAGGCTCTGGAGCATGTGGTGATTCTTTATTTCAGAGCTTGCATACAACAAAGCTCACCTAGCAGTCCTTAGGACACTGTGGTGGCATCTAATGTAGAGAAACTGCATCGTGGGTCCGTTGTTCGTTTGAATGGGGATTGCTCATTTGAATGGATGTGCTGCAATTATTTTAATTGAAATGTGATTTTCTATTAATTCCAAAGTATCTCGGGACATAATTGAAAAGCTCCTGCTTATTGAAACCAGTAGCTATCTCACTGTATGATCTAAGGATGGAAATAAATACATGTGATTAAAGTACTTGTGGCACCTTAAAAGTTCTTAAAATTTATTAGTTTTTATTTTATTTTATTTATTTATTTTTGGAGACAGAGTCTTACTCTGTTGCCCTGGGTAGAGTGCTGTGGCATCATAGCTCATAGCAACCTCAAATTCCTGGCTCAAGTGTTCCTCTTGTCTCAGCCTCCTGAGTAGCTGGGACTACAAACATCCACAGCAATGCCTGTCTAGTTTTTCTATTTTTAGTAGAGATTGGGTCTTGCTCTTGCTCAGGCCAGTCTGAAATTCTTGAGCTCAAGCAATCCACACACCTCTGCCTCCCAGAGTGCTAGGGTAACAGGTGTGAACCACTAGGTCTGGCCCCTCTTAAAACTTATTAGTGTTAAGTGATAAGTCATTTTATTTTAAAAGATTTCTACTTTGACTCATCCTCTTTTACTTAACCCATCTTTGTTTACTCATCCTTTCTTTTGAGCGTGCCATGGGGATATGTGCTGTGCGTCCTTTTCCATAGTATCAGGTTGGTTTTGGCTCCCCTGCCTGCTCTGTGACCTGTGGTATACATTTGTGAGCTAGCTGGCCCTCTATTAAAATTCCCTGTTTTATTATAGATCTTTGTCTCTCACACTACTGTGTGATATTGGTATTTTTATAATTACTAACGTACATAATGCTACATCTTGGTCATTTCAGATATAAATGTGTGTACATTTGTGGAAATGAATGGTAGTATCATTTGTATGTGTGTAAAAAGCTATAGGAAAAGAACTAATATAGACCACCAACCCATGTTCTCCCCTAAGAAGCAGATTGAAATCAATTGTCAACTTAAGGGTTTGTAAGATGTGCCTTTTTAAAAAGCAAGTGTAATTGCCTGGTCTAGTTCATGCTTACTGAGAACTTGGGTATCTTGCCAAAATCAACCATTTGATTGATAAAAATATAAATTAAATTATTTAGAATTTTGTAACTGAAACCAGTTTGGAATCTGAAAGTTTTCTTACAGCCAGATGTGGTGGCTCACGCCTGTAATCACAGCAGTCTGGGAGGCTGAGGTGGGTGTATTACTTGAGTTCATGAGTTCAAGACCAGCCTGAGCAAGAGTGAGATGCCATATCTAAAAAAGTAGCTAGGCATTGTCGTGGATTTCTGTAGTCTCAGCTACTTGAGAGACTGAGGCAAGAGGATTGCTTCGCCCAAGAGTTTGAGGTTGCTGTGAGCTATGATGCCATAGTACTCTACCCAGGGCAATCCTTCGTAGAGTTACAAAAAAAAAAAAAAGTTTTCTTGCAATGGAAAAATCCAATGTCATTGAATACCTGTGCCCAAATCTCTCACCATTTCGAATTTGGGGTTGTTTCCTGTTCACCATTTTTTTCTAGATGCTAAGCATTTTGAAAAGTGTGAGTTAATTATACGTATCTGTCCCTCTTAGCTAGTATATATTTTTTTTATTTCCATAGAAATCTTTGAATTTCCCTAGAAAGGTAACTGGACATAACATTATAGAAGTACTTGGCACATAAGCATTAGTGATTTAGGGTACAGAAAGATGATGCCAGGTGCAGGGTGTGAGGGTAGAGAGACAGGTTTAGAACAGTTTCAAGTTCGACTATAATATTCGTTGGTTTGAAGTAACTTCTTGGTTTTAGTTAGACAGACTATTTTATTTGTCTGGTGTGTTCTGAAGCCTGAGTAGGTATCATGTGTTATTTTTTAATAGTTCTTACTACAAAGATATGGAAACAATCCAAGTGCTCATCAATACATGAGTGGATTAATAAAATGTGGTAGACACGTATGTATACCATGGAGAACTACTCGGCCAAATCTCTGGAGAGATTTGGGCACACGTATTCAGTGACATTGGATTTTTCCATTGCTAGAAAACTTTTTTTTTTTTTTTGAAACTCTACCAAGGATTGCCCTGGGTAGAGTACTACGGCATCATAGCACCAAAAAATTGGTGAACTAATAACCTCTTGTATTTACCTGGATGGAACTGGAGATCATTCTTCTAAGTGACGTATTACAAGAATGGGAAAACACACACCACATGCACTCACTATTAAATTGGAACTAATTGATCAACACTTATGTGCACATACAGAAATTATACTTATCAGAAATCAAGGTTGGAGGAGAGGAGAGGATGAGTAAATTCACATGGAACAGGTACAATGCATATTATCTGGGTGATGGGCCCACTTATAACTTTGACCCAAATGCTATAAAAGCACTTTATGTAACCAGAAGGTTTGTACACTCATAATATTCCGAAATAAATTTTTTTTAAAAAATTAAAAAGGAAAATAAAGAATAAGAAATAGAAAAGAAAAAAACAATTATTACTGAAGAATTGAAAAAGCCTTTCTAAGTGAACTCTTTTTTTTTTTTGAGACAGAATCTCAAGCTGTGACCCTGGGTAGAGTGCTATGGCATCATAGCTCACAGCAACCTCAAACTCTTGGGCTTAAGTGATTCTCTTGCCCCAGTCTCCCAAGTAGCTGGGACTACAGGTGCCTGCCACAACACCCGGCTATTTTTTGGTTGTAGTTGTCATTGTTGTTTGGCAGGCCCAGGCTGGATTCGAACCTGCCAGCTCCTGTGTATGTGTCTGGCACCCTAGCTGCTGAGCTACAGGCGCAAGTCTCTGTGAGACCCATAGGAACTGTATTAAAGGGCTACAGCATTAGGAAGGTTGAGAACCACTGCTCTAAGTGAACTCTTAATGCTTTATAAACTGCAGTGCCTGGCAGTGTTCAGCCCTGAATAGAAGCAGCCCTGATTCAAGAACCAAACTACTCTCAATTCACTGTTTTGGCCTTAGGAGTTTGACTGGAGATTGGAAGATGGGAATGGGGAATGAACAAACAGATTGTGATTCTTTGCAGTAGTTGGAAGTACTCTCCTTTAGGATTGATTTGAATTCAAACATTGCTACTTTTGAGCTGTGTGACCTTGAACAAAGTGTTTATTCTTTTTTAGTTGAACTTTCCTCATCTGCCAAATGTGGTTAGAAACCCCCATCTCATCAGGTAGTTGTGGGGTTGAAATTAAACACATGTGTACAGGGCCCAGTCATATTCTAAATATATAATGTCCCTTAATAAATAGTGCTGTAAATGATTCCTACTTTCTGTTTCTCTCCTTAAAGAAATCCAACTTCCAGATGCAGAACTTTCTATTGCTTAAATTAGTACTGTGAACTGAAGAGGTAATAAGTAATTCTTTTGGACCACAATGTTTTCTTTAGAAATAACCATCTAGGTTTAGTATTTTACTGCCCCACTCATGCCGTAGACATGTTAGGGACATAGATGTTAGATATGGTTTGTATTCTTGGTTGTATGGGGACATGAGATCATGACTCAGTCAATGAAACCTCCTTATATATGTTCCCTAGAACTCAAGAGTTTTTAGTGACTTTTTCAGGGTAAATGTCTCCAAAATTGTCTTCATGGATTCCTACAGTAGATAAATTTGTGGGAATTTAGTCTGTTGTGCTCTAGACAAAAGCTCTAACTTTTGTCTTTAACCCTAGAGACCAACCAAATGACTTGGTAGGGTTATGGACTTTGGAGTCAGAGAACCTATACTTTTTCCAGCCAGACAATGCAGAGCTGTTGTTCTAGTCCCTGACTCCCTATTACTTGTCTGACTCTTACTAGCTGTGGGCAAGTCACACCCTCTCTGACCCTCAGTTTTCCTACCAGTAAAATGGGGATAATAGTAGTCTTTTCTTAGGATTAAGTGATGGAACTTGGCTGAGTCAATAGATATAAAGCAGTCACCAAGTTCTTCGAGCATAGGTGCTCACCAGATTCTGCTTCCCTTCTTCCTTCTCTCCCCCTCCTCCTTTCTCTTCTCTCTCCTTCTTGTTATTCTTACTTTCTCCTTTTTTCTGCACTCAGTTTTTAGAAAAGGAGAAAACTAGAGAGATGGGCTTCAGGATAGAGATATCCTTATTTCTGTTTTGGATCCCATTGCTATGATTTTATGACATGGACTACAATTGTAAGATGTTGGGCCTTGTTGCTTACCAAAATGACTTTTCTTTTTACTTGCTGTTTCCCTGCAGGAAGGATCAGAATGTTCTCTCTCCAGTCAACTGCTGGAATCTCCTCTTAAACCAAGTGAAGCGGGAGAGCAGGGACCACACCACCCTGAGTGACATCTACTTGAATAACATCATTCCTCGATTTGTCCAAGTCAGCGAGGACTCAGGAAGACTCTTTAAAAAGGTATAGAGCTATTCCTAATAAAGGAGGTTCTTGGGTGGAGCAATGGCATCATCTTGTAAGTAAAAGAAAGAAAACCTTATTGACCCACTTGACAGGCTTTCCACTGGTCATTCCCTAACATACTTGTGGAGAAAAAAATATTTGAATTGGCCACTTTTTCTTCCTTTCTAAGCTGAATTAATAGTAGCCCTGGGAAAGTAACCATTTTCAAGGTGCAATCTCAGGACTGGCATCATAATTCATGTGGTGCATATGAATAGCATATGCATATGTTAATAATAACTGAGTTTGGGGGAGTTTTCTTAAAGTAAATTGTGATGCTGTTGAAATTTGGGAAACTTCAGTGTCATTCTTCATGTTTTCCTCTTCTAGTTCATTTATCAAATTCATGTAAGTTTGTGTTTTTGCTTTAGTTTTGTCTCTGAGTTCTCATCTTGGCCAAGATGGACTCATGAACTAAGTTATTCTTATCATGACTTACTTTTGTCTTTGGGTCTCTGAATGGTTTTCTTTCTTTTTTCTTTTCTTTTCTTTTCTGTTTCTTTTTGAGACAGAGTCTCACTCTGTCACCCTGGGTAGAATGCCATGGCCTTATAGCTCACAGCAATATCTTGTCTCTTGGACGCAAGCGATCCTCTTGCCTCAGCCTCCCAAGTTGCTGGGACTATAGGCGCCCACCACAATACCCAGCTAGTTTTTCTGTTTTTAGTAGAGATGGGGTCTTGCTCTTGCTCAGGCTGGTCTCAAACTCCTGAGCTCAAGTAGTCTACCCACCTTGGCCTCCGTGAGTGCTAGCTAGGATTACAGGCATGAGCCACTACACTTGGTTTCTGAAGCTCAATTATTATGACAATTCTTGAGTGTAGGGTGAGTGATCTGATGAAATAAAATTCAGAATAATTGCAGAAATCTTAAGGACTTTCTACCAAATTCACCTCACCAGTCTTTGGTGGGACCAGCCTCTTAGAAATCCGGGAGCCTCTTTTCTAAGTTTTTTCACCTTGAGCTCAAAGTACAATGATCTATTCATGAGGTTTGGTTACAAATGGTGGCAAAGGCCTCAGTCACTGTGTATGATAGGCTACATCTACCATTCAACCTCTGTTATCTCCTGAAGAATTTTCAGAAGGCAAATAATCCTCCTACAACTTAAAGGTAGAAAGAAGATACGTAGGGCTATTTAGAATCCATCAATTTACAGTAGACAAAGTCTAGTATTAAGATTTGAGGCTGTGAGAGAAAAGACTATAGTAAATAGGGTTGTGTGATTGATTTAACCATAGCTCTTGGTCAGTTTTCTAATTCTTATTGCTAGGAAGTTTTCCAGCTTTCACTAGATCTGGAATTAATACTTGGTTTCTTCTGTTTTTACCAACCTGATAAAATAACTGATTTAGAATTTTCCATCGGGGTGGGCATGGTGGCTCACGCTCGTAAGCCTAGCACTCTGGGAGGCCAAGGTGGGTGGATTGCCTGAGCTTATAAGTTCAAGACCAGCCTAAGCCAGAATGAGACCTTGTCTCTAAAAATAGCTGGGTGTTGTGGCAGGCACCTGTAGTCCCAGCTACTTGGGAGGCTGAGGCAAGAGAATCTCTGAAGCCCAAGAGTTTGAGGTTGCTGTGAGCTGTGACAACATGGCACTCTACTGAGGGTAACAAAGTGAGACTCTGTCCCCGCCCCCAAATAGAATCTTCCATCTATATAGTTGCATCCATGGAGAGGCTTTCCCTGCGTCTTAGAGACAGAGTATTGAGGGTACAAACATTTCACAAAGAAAAGACAGAAGAGAAAGAAAACTCCTCCCAGAGATGACTGGCTATTTTTAGTGGCCTGGCTGTGCTGTGGTTGCGGCCACACTTCATTTAGGGGTGAGGGTACTTTTCGCCATCTCTTTCATGATTTTCAGCACCTGCTCTAGCTTGCTTGTCACTAATTTGAATTATTCTGCAATACTTGGTGATGCATGTGTGTGACTGAAATTAGAACCTATTTAGGTGAAACTTTGATAGTAATTGATTACCATCTCAGTTCTTCTCTGACCATCGCAACCACTTTGACTATCTCAAGAAGAAAAGGGATTGACTTAGTTTCCACCTCCATTTTCTCTTGTTCATCTGAGAAAAAGCTTTTGTGAGAGGTATTCACTTCCCAAGAATTTACCCAATCTCTCAGCTTCCTTTTCTCCCAGTCTTAGAAGGTAAGAGTCTTATAGCCTCTGCATATCTCAGAGAGGTTTATGCTGAAGGCAGCCAAATAGCAAAGCCATGAGTGTATGTTCCTAACTCTTCAAATGTCCCAGACACATTTCACCAAAGACCTGAGTGTATAACATGATACAAGGCTTGGGGCATAGGACCTCCCGGCAGGAAAATCTCCCCAAGAATATTTCTGGCCCTGAACTCAGGGCTGACCTCCTTAAGTTATGCATTTCTATGCTTGAAAATAAGGAAGAACTTCGGATTTCTCACAGGACTTTAGTATATTTCATTGAAAAAAGCACTGTACGTAAGTTTATAGCTAAATATATTTTGACAAACTAAACACATCTGTGTAATCAGCTGCCAGATCAGTAATCATGGCATTTCAGCACCCCATGCTCAGGTTCCCTTCTAGCCACTCCCCACCACCAGATCCTGAAGGATAACAGTCCTGACTGGTTTTCCTCATTCACCATTATGTTTGTGAGTTTATTCACACTGTTGTATACAGTTGCTGATCATAGGACTTATAGTAGGACTTTCTCTTGGTCTTTATAACTTTGTATCAGTTAAATTGTGGTTGATTGAAGACAGGCATAGGATTGTTGAATGGCCAATGAGTGCTGTCCCACAGGGTGAATAGTCTCCCCTCTCTCTCTCTTCCTTGGGATTCCAGAATAGGCAGAGAACTCTAAGGTAGAAGTGGGTTGACAGATCATGAGAATAGAAGTATTCAGTTTTGGCTGGGGGAGAGCCACTCTGCTTTCTAAAAACATTCTTAATGCCCCAGTTTTAAATCTCTTTTGTTTAGAGTGTTGTGCATGTAAAGAATTAGAGTCGCACTGGTTAATACGTAGCAGTCAACCTAGAGACCTACGGAATGTGCCTGGCAGGTCTGTCAGTTATGTTAAGCCCAGAATCTCCCCTGGGCTTGCTTTGTCAGAGCAGAGGCCTCTTCCAAATCACCCTTTGTCTTGGGCTTAGCTCCATTATTAACTCTGAGACCTTGGACAATTACATCTTTCTGTGCCATAGTTCCTTAAACTTTAAGAGAAGAGTTTGTGCTATATGATCCCCATGGGATCATCTAAATCCAATATACCACAATGCTGTGATGACAAGGGCATCCTATACTGGGGGCTTCCATCTGGTTGTTGGGTAACCTTTGTTAAATTGTGATAGGTAAATTGCACTCCCGGAGATAAGGACAAACAAAAGTAGGTGTGGGCTTGGAGAGAGCTAGCTGAAGCAAATGAAGACTACATTTCTTGAGGAATGAAGCATTGTTTCAGGTGCTACTAATCTGCAGAGAGATTAGCAGCCAAGAGATGCCAAACTGAGATCCAAATGCATAAACTAGATAGGTATATCTTTTGGATTATTAGTAAATTTGGTTCCAGCCAGCAAAAGGAAAATCCATTTCTCTGAAGATACAGACTTCAGAAAAAGTTACCTTTATATCTGGTTCAACTGTGGACACCTGTGCTTCATGTGAATTTGAATCTATTTGTTGCTAGCAAAAATCACAGATTTTCTTTTTTAAATTCTTTTAAAAAATATGTAAAACTTAATGATTCCCTGGCAAAAATAATAATGATAAATAATGATAAATAATGATGATTCACTGGTAAAAAATAATTATTATATTATTATGATAACACAAGACAGTATTTTTTTGAACCCTTATTGCCAGGTACTGTGTTGAATACCTGATGTGCATTATCTCTTTTAGTCCTTACAATAATCCTATAAGGTACTTTTATTATTGTCATCTCTATTTTATAAAGGCAGAAATTGAGGCTTAAAGACATTAAGCAAAAATGGAGTGAAACTGGCATTTAAATCCAGTCTTCTGGCTCTAAAACCCAGTGTTTTCATCTGAATGTACTCTCGAGGTATGGTGTGCAGGGAAGTTAGTATTATGGATTTTCTTATTCTTTTCATTGAACTCAGATTTTGCATTTAGTTATAGAACTAAACTAATCTTTTCTTTTGCACATAAACCTTCAAAGGATATGGAGGTGTTAAACACCAACATTGGATTGTTGCTCCTACCTGGGGTTGAGGCAAGCAGCTGCAAGTTGGGAGTCAGGGAGGGCAGTATGTTTATTCTCCCTAGGGATGGAATCTCTCTGCTGGGCAAGAGAGAAACAAAGACTCATTAAATGTGAGAACTAGCCAAAACTATGGCTCACAGCTAGTTTAACTAATTTAGGGGGGATTAGTGTAGCTACACAATTGGCCCTGTGTGCTACTGAACCCCCTTCCAGGATGCACCTAGCTAGCCCTCTGGTTTGTGGTTATGTCTGCTGGGACCTATTTTACATTTTGCATAAGCCCTGTTGGAGATTCCTTTAGCTAAATATAACATCTGGAGAAAGTAGCCTCCTTTCCATAGCTTAGAAACAGGCCGACTTTGTCTAGGACTCCAGGGAAAATGGAGCCTGTTTGGTGCTCCTGACATCTCCTTTCATGTAATGAAAGCTCAGTCTGTTTAATCCCAGTAGGAGCTAAGGTCTGGGCAAATATTATTGCTGCCACCTTCATTTGTTTAATGCAGTGGCTTCAAAAATGGTGGCCAAACGCTGCCAAATTTGACTCCCATCTTCATGTGGTCTCTGGAAGAGGCATGTTCTAAAGACTCTCACCAAGAACAGAAATACTTTTTCCCACTTGCTTGGTTTAAACTGGAGTAAACTTGGGTGTGCTCTATCCCACACGAGAGAGGACAACCCTGTTCTCTCTTCCTCTTTTTACTTAGCTGGAACACTTTAAAAGTACCACTGACTTTTCTGTCACTGT